ATAAACCTTGTTGTTAATAAGGTAATAACAAGAGTAGATTACTCTTGTACTCTAAATAATACTTGTTTGTACAGCACTCAACAGCTGTAATGTAAAAATAGACAATACAGTGTAGGCTATTTGATTTAATAAGAATCTTAATTAGCTTTAATAAAATGAATTCCTTCATAAATGTTAATAAAGTAATACTATATAATAATTGATTGCTAGTGATATGATTTATTATCGATCTAAATTCTTTTACTTGGCTACAGCACATTTACTATGCTTAAAAATCCCACTTAAAACCAATATAAACATAGGATGATACAGCCAGTGTAGCACAACGATTGACAGCAGCGCCTCTTGCGGCAACCTCCAATATAGGGACAGAAAATAAGCTCGATTTCGACACTATATTTTCTAGCCACTGTACTCCAAGCTCGTTGTAAATTATCAGAGCTCGCCGAACGCGCTAGGAATGCTAGCAATGACGTCATGGGTGCGAAAAGTAAACGCCGTGCTCATTGGCAGCTAACAAAAAATATACAGGCTGAGCGCGCTAGGGGCGAGATCGGAGCTAAAAGTAAACGCACCCCATAGGTGACGGCCGGATGACGAGGGAAGGAAACTGATTGGATAAATTGTCCAAGAAACATTTTTGAAATGTTTCGGCCACCTGAATACAGTGGGAGGCCGGTGCATTAATACCTCGGCCTTCTAGCTGAGATGGTTAATGCATCAACCTAGCGCTTTGGGTATCGTCAATTAAATGCACGCTTTCAATATTTGAATTACTGTATATAATTTTGTGTGTTTACTTTCGTATAATTATTCACTGTTTTTCCTAGTAGTTTTGAAATAATTTCTATCACAGAAACAAAATCAAAGTTTGCATCAACAACAAATACATCGAAACAGTTATAATGGGAATTGAATTTGTTTGTATACTATTTGTTTAGATATAGACTTTGTAATGGCTAGATGCCAAAGCAAATAATGGCACACATGCCTGCTGTTCTAAGGGACTAGGTTCAAATTTGGATCTGTTCAGAATTTTTGTAGATTGATTGTTCCGAATGTGTTAGATCTAAATTGTAGTACTTCTGCTAAGATGATCCAAATCTTAGTTTAGTTATGAATAAGATCTGTTCTCTCTTTCACAAAATAGCTCTTCTTAATACTATGAATAAATATAAATATTGGCTAGAAACAGACTAACTTGTAAGTGGGTAAAACATTATTGCATTTTTTTTTATAGTATACCAGTCGATTCCCCTATAACACTGTTGATTTCTCCGTTTTATATGAATTCCATGTTGTATGAGTCACTTAGATTTACAAATACGTGTGCCGGGATGTGAACGGCTCACGTATTTGTAAAATTCAAGTGACTCGTACAACATGGAATTCATATAAAACGGAAAAATCAACAGTGTTATAGGGGGGTCGACTGGTATATTATCGTTTACTTTTAGAAATGATTTTGTGTGTTTTTTTCGCTTTTATAAATAAAATGAAAAAAATTATAATAATTTTTCATATCTTTTTCAAAATTAAATTTTAATTTTAATTATATTTATGAAATTATAAATATTTAATTATTTTCATCGCTAGAGGGCTACGATAAAGTCTTCTTGTCTTTTAGGTCAAGGGGACGAGTTGTGAACCGGTAGAAGCTTTTTAAAAAATGACTTCATTTTTGGCAATTACGTCCAGAAAGGTAAAAGAATCGTGTAATACGTGAATTCTAAATAACAAACATTATCACCGTAATTAAAATTATCAAGTAAACTTTAAAGTAAAGTCAGGTGGACCAATTTAAAAAATTAAAGTTTTGCAGAGAAGCCAACTTTCTCTATTTAAACTTTAAAACATTTTAATATACAGACTTTTTGTAAATGTTACTTTATATTACTGCAAAGTTCTTATATTTCTAACAGATAAAGATAACTTATTATTATTATTTATAATATAAAGAAATTTATTAATTGAAATGCTTTAAATTTGGATTTTAAATAAACAATTCAGACTAGTGAAATATTAATTCATTAAATACATACAATCAAGCGCAGTCCTATTTTATCTATATTTTTTGAGATATTCTCAGTAGTATATTTTTGCACAGGTTAAGTTCTATAAATATATATTTCTGTATCATAACTTTGAATGGATCTTTATATATAAAGAACTGAAAATTCATTATTAATTATTGTATATATGTTTAAAGCAATAATTAAATTACTTTATTATTGTCTTGTTAAATTATTTATCATGTCAACATGTAATAATCTGTTCATTTTTCCTTTAATTGTATTTATTCAATTAAGCAATGCCATAATTTAAATGTCATGTTTTGATGTAAGAAAAGGAGAAAACCAGTTTTTATTATATCACAATTATTTAATGTTGACATTGTCAAATCAGAATAAAATCATCATCAAATGATGTGAAGGATGTATAAATTATATGATTAAAAGATTATTGTTTATTCAGTTTAATAAATAAAAATTAAGTGAAATTATATACATAATGGATTTAAAAGAATATATGTAAAAATTTAAAATACAGATAAAATTTTCTTTTGATAAAATAATTAAATATTTAATACTTTATTTACTTTTTAATTTTATGTTTATTATTAGTTTATATTAACAGAACTACATATTTACATTTTTAATGTAACATGTTTGTTGTTTTTGAATTTGTTGTTAATGAAAATTTACATTAAATAATTACTATTAATTTCTGTTTTTATCTACAAGTAAATATATATGTGTAAAAATCATATAGCAACAGATCAAACACTAATTATTTTATATAAACATATACACATACTGATTATTCGGTGTTTATCTATATTTATACTAATATTATAAAGAGGTAAAGTTTGTAAGTTTGGATGTAGGAGGTAATCTCCAAAACTACTCATCTGATTTCAAAAATTCTTTCATTAATATTTAGAATAGACCTTCAGGGTGGCATAGGCTGTATATTATTCCATTAAACATTTATATAAATTAAAAGATGTCATCTAGGTAAGCGTTATATTTTTGGTGTCAGTGGGTGGCACAGGGCAAGATGCGTACGTGTACAAGATAGGTAACCAAGCAGTGTAGTTGCGTGGTTGGCGAGATACGCAATGCATATGTCTGAACTTATGCTGAAAATTTGCCTATTTGTTGTCTCTTAAAATAATGAATATCTTTTGTCCCTTATGTGTTCCTAAAACATTCATATAAATTAAAAGATATCATGTAACTGATACTATTATAGTCACAAACTGAATTCCATGTGGGTGAAATTGCAGACACAGCTAGTTTATAGATATACTAGATATAGTAAAAATTTAATTAACAGGAATTTTATTGAATAATAATAACAACTTTATCAAGAACTAGCTAAACAATATATGATAGAATTACATTTACAGAATAAACATCTTTTTGAATTATAAAAATTTTATATACAACTTAATGAATTATTAAATATTTTAATTTTTGCATTATCATATTTAATCTCTTAAAATTAATTTTTTTTTCTCTACAAAAATCCACATTTCTGTATTTAGTTTTTTGTATTAAAAAAGAAAACTATTGGATTTAAAATGATTTTATTGTATCAGTTTTAATCTGATTGTACTTATGCATATAAGTTGTATGTTTAGTACATGTATCGTAGTTGTAAGTTATTATTTCCATATGTTTAAAAACATCTGTGAAAATTTAATTTTGTTTATGACTAAATTTTTATGACAATATTTAACAAGTATTGTAATCTAGAAAACAGTCTTCATAACAGACAAATTAGTGGGAAAATGTTTTGGTGTCATTTCACACAAAAAAATAAAATTAAGATAAAATTCTTTGGTTTTTGTGACACCAAAGAATTAATAAATTTGCTGAAGTATGTGATTAATGTATTGTTCTTTTGTTAGCTTTGTCAGACCACCTTTATTTTAGCTAAACTGTCTTTCTCCTTTATTGAATTTCATTTCAATGATTGCATTATGTCCACATCCATTTTTCAATGCTTGTATTTTCACACAATGACACTGGCAGATTTCTGTATTGGCATATGCCTAATCTTACATATACAGTAAATCAATATCCTTCTCCATAGAAAGCTATGGTTTACCATTTGATACAAATATCCCCTATTTAACATCACAATTAGGTTTTGAAAAAGTATCATATTGTGTGAATCTGTGCTATTTGCGTTTTTCATGAACTATAGAGGGCACTGCATTTTTACAAAATGACTACTTTATCTGGGTTGCTTGTAACTAGTAATGTAAAATTAATCATATGTTACTGTTTGATGTAATGATATATGCTGCTTGTAACTGTTTAAATCAAGAAATTTTATAGGAGAACAATTATTGCTAGCGGGACACGTCATTATGTGGTATCAAAACAAATGAGAGAGATCGTTCTATACATATTTGGGCCCTTTGTGTTAAAATACATCAGTTTTGACATTGTCCTATCAGGGCCGGATTTACAAGTTAACAGCTATGTAAGTTGTTGCTTAGGGACTTGACTTTCAAGGGGTCTCAAACATTTGTACAAAAAAGAAAATTGAAGTCAAATTTTGTAATAAACATTTTTTTACACATCAATAAAATATACTTTACTTTTTATTTTGTGTAGTATTTCATTAATTTTTTTTCTAAGAATTAACATAAGATCTTTTTAAAAAAAAAAAAATTGATAAAACCAATTTAAAAAAGATTTTTAATGGAACAGATATAAAAATTTAATTAAACTCAGTTATAAAACAATAAGATTAGTGAAACCTCATGTCTTTTTCTTCCAATATCTGTATTAAATCAGAGACATAGTCTGATTTAATTCTTTTCTTTTTATGATTGACTTCTAAAATTATGAAGGGTTGGTAAGGGGCCTTACAGAGTTCAGCTTAGGGCTTCGAAATGCTTAAATCCGACCCTGTGTCCCACACAAAATTACCGTCATTTTAAACTTTAAGAAAATATGTTTTAAAATTGACAGCATAACTTGTTCATGTAAAGCTGGACAGTGGAAAACTGCCAATTCTTAACAATCTAATCCACTCTTTCAGAATTCAGAGAATCTCATAAATATAACCAACCGATTTCCAAATAATCATCTGTTTTTTCATGTGGGAATAAATGAAAACTTATATTAGGCTCCCATAAGGCTTTGAAATTGCAATTTGGAATGCAACAGAAAGCTTTGCTTTTTCTATTGCTATTCATCTTTACTGCTGATAATACACAAGAATGAATCAAATGACCCAGATAGAATAGTTTTGTTTTTAAACACCAGAGGGTGAGCATCTGGTGAAAAATGCAAATATGTAACAATGAACTAGAACATAACATAGGATTATGTTAAGGTTTAGCAAAAGTATATTTGTCTATTTTGTAATTAAGAGCAATATGTTTATTAAAGCAGTCAATAATTAATTAACAATACAATCAAAAGTATTGCTTGTTAATATTAATTTTTTCTTCACTGCTAAACACTATTAAATAATGATATTTTTTGGCAAAATATCGTTGTCTTCTGAGCTTTCCTATTGACCTTAATCTGAAGTACAATAGAGTCCTCAGCACTCAATAACTCTGCAGTCTGGATAACTTGGCCACACCCTGGCAGAGCAAAAAAAACCCTAGTTAATTTTGATTATAGACAACTTTATGCCTCAAAGTATTTTTCTGAGGTCTGTCTTATCAGGTAAATTACTGTACACTGTGTATTCATTAATTTTTATTTTCATGTAGTAAAAGCTCTATGCTTTCATAAAGTATGTACTTTTCCTTTGTTTAAGGGTATTTGGGCAGTTTATTCTCTGTTGTATTCTCAAGCAAACAATACATACAAGTATAGTACAGTATTTTCTGAAGAAACACTCATACTTATTCTTTTTTAACCCAATTCCCGATAATCCGGCATTTTCACAAACTTGGCCATCCTTCAGTCCACATTAGGCCGAGTTTTCGGGACTCTACTGTATCAGCAACATCTTGATTGTTCGCTATTTTGTTTTTTTTTTTCATAAAATCTGATATTTTCGTTTCCCTAAGAGATCTTTAAAAATTTCATTTTTTATGTAGTAGCTTTAATTTAATTTATGAAAACAAAACACAGCAACAGTCTTTTGGGATCATTTGGAGCAATATCACCAATGATGGTAAAACCTGGTTTATAGGAAAGCTAGAATAGAAAGTTAAGACAAGGGAGAATAAAAATTGTATAGTCAGTTGTCATTAAAGAAAACTGGATGAAAGGCATGAAACAGCATTGAAAATTTCAATATCCTAATATCTATGGGCAAATATGGCACAATATGCATGCTTGCTTGAATAAAAAAAATTTCAAATGACAGTGTTTACACTTATAAATTGTGACATTTTTATGAAGGATGTCTCCAATTCAGTTTGAGAATTGGAGACATCCCATACAAACTGTGTTGTACAAGGGATACCTGTATTTTAAGTTTGCAAATATTATAATTTTAAATCAAAAGCTGGATGGGATAAAGTGAATATTGGATGAGCAGTAACATTAATCATTTTTATGTGCCAATTTAATCCAAATGGTTAGAAATCTGGCAACCCTATTCAAATTATGGTATATAATTCTACTTTGAGTATGGATAGTTATTTCTTGGAATTAACGAGAATTATTAATTATAAATATTTTTATACCTGTAGAAGTATAGCTATAAAAATGATAT